AATAGAGCAGTCTGAGATCAAAATGCAATCATTGATGACGAGTAGGCCTCAGAGAGGTGGATATCGAGAAGACTCCATGATGTCTAGTAATGCATATAGACCTAGTGAGTGTAACAGGTTTCGTAGTACATCCTCAACAGATAAGTTACAAGATGCAAGACAAACACGGTTTGTTTACACGTGTGCAAGAGGTGCATACAGAAGTGAACTGTGAACCAGTGAGCAAGTTCAGTGATAAGCTAAATGTAAACTCCAGGTCTGACTCCGAATTGTGTGACGATAACGGTGCTGTGAAGAAGTCTGTAGTTGCAACTGGTAAGCCGTTGTTGAATAGAGTGTCACAGAATAGAGTTACTGCTTCAGAGTGCAGTTCTGACCCTACAAGTTTACAAAGTATAACTAGTCAGAGTGAAGATATAAAACCTTTAATGATTTGTGAGGAGGAACCAAAATTGTCTACTTCTGTTATTAAAGAGTTTGAAAATGATGAAGTTGACGGTAAAGTGAATATTCGTGATAATGATCATGATACTTCACAGTTGTCTTTGGTTGATCATTATGAGATGAGGGATATGCCTACTACTGCTAAGTTAAATAAAGGTTCTGTACAACTACAACGTGAAGTAGAATTGAACGCAGATGCAGTTCCAGAAGGTGTGCATACTTGTGAGACAGTCAGTGTAATTGATCAGCGTGTAGCCCACCTATCATCAGATGATAGTGCTAAACCCGAACTAGTAGTGAAAGACAGCAGTGGTGGTAATCTTGCAGTTGGACAACTATCTGAAAGCCGAAGAACAACAGCTTCTGATCCACCGCTAAGTTCATCACCTTGTGTCACTCAGTCATCGTTGGTGTTTTCATCCACAATGAAACAGATGCCCATCAACTCAAGTATCTTGTGCAATGACTATGATAGTATTGGTGCGTTTGAAAAGACGAAAGATATTGCTCAGTTTAGTGAGAATAAGCCAAGTGTAAACGAGAGAGTAATTGTTAAATTGACTTGCATGAATAAAGGCATTTCTAGTTTCAAGTTACTAATTGAATGCTATTATCTTTGGTGTAAATTACTCTGTTTCTACACTTGGTTGATGAGATATGCTGTGTGTTTGTTCGTCATCTATATTCTACGATACAATGACATGGGCGTGTTGCCGTTCAGATTTGAGGATATAGCTGATAGAAGGAAGTCAGCAAATGAACTCTGCGACGATTTTCCAACCTAGAGCGTCAACCTGAGAAGGGTTGTAGGCGTACTGCTGTAAGTCCTACAATTCTTCAAAGGGTAGCGCATCAATGAGCAGTCCAATGTGCTTGGTGTGTGATTTTGTACATATGTTCATATTGTATATACTGAATTGATATCATTTATCATCTAGCTGTTGGTAATTCTGTTTGTGTCCGGACGACTTCCACTTGGATCATCAACCTGAGAAGGAATGTAGGCGTACTGCTGTAAGTCCTACAGTTCTTCAAGGGTAGTTTGTCGTGTCAGAATCCACAACATTTGATGTAGTGATTGTACATATGTTTGTGTTAAATAATTGTGTGAGTTCCAATTGATGTAATTGTTGGTTAATCTTGTTTGTGTCCGGACATTCCACAACTTACAATCGTCAACCTGAGAAGGGTTGTAGGCGTACTGGTGTAAGTCCTGCAATTCTTCAAAGGAATTCCACCAAGACATGATCGGCGAGGTTGTTTGTACTATTTGTATATACGTGTGGTGTGTCATATCAATTGGTGTTTTTTGGATTCATTGTGTTTACTTGTTGTTTTCGTATCTTGTTGTTATTGCGTAATTTTGTTAAAATTTTCGTCGTGATTACTTCTGAAGTTGTTTCGAGTCTTCTACATCCATGAATGAATTGATTGATGTTAAGGACAGCAGATGGGTCGTATACGCCGGGGAGGCTAGTGCTGAGAATGAAATGCACACGGAGATAATTGTTAGCTGCGGTCCGACACGCCGGGGAGAAAGAGTGTAAACGACTGAGGCTCGCATGCGTCACCGTTACTAGAACTGAGGCAGAATGAGTGACAAGCGATTTCAGTGGTAATTGGTAGTGAGTAGATAAGAGGATGTGCGTAGAGTATCATGAGTTGGTGCTATGGTCACGTTGCATTCTGCAAGAGTCATTCTAGTAAGTGGCGATTGTGTTGCAAGATGTCAAGAGGAGGTCTCTGTCTGGAGGCGCAGGTCGTCAGCGATGTGTGAGATTGTGCTGTGGGTATGCTTGTGGTGTGTTGGCTTTTCTGTTTGTTTTCCATTTCAGCTCTGTCCGTGTGACCCAGGTTCTCGCAATGGCATCCAAGTCAACGTGCATTGGTCGTGAAGGAAAAAAGGGTTGGATCCCTTTTTTGCCGGGGAGTGTCAATGGAGTTGAAGATTGAACGATCAATTCTTGGTTGTTTGCTCAAAATCAACTTCCCCAATTTTCGCGGAGGCATCAATACGACAGTCATCGTCTCATCGGTCGCTGTTCAGAAAGAAGAGTAAAATATCGTCAGAAGTAATACAATGATTTATTATTGTAATATTTGTTTACAGACCTTAGTTTACTTAGTTCGCTTATTCCTTTTATATGTTGGTGTAACAATACAGAAATATCAAACGGCAGATCGGTGTTTTGGTTTTTTCGTCCGTTATAACTAAGCGTTTCTGAAATCTTCGAAGAACAGCGTGGGCCCGAGCGTAGCGAGAGCTGGGCATTAACGGTTTATGAGACGTGATTGACTGACACCATATTCTTCTCTCACTGGTACAGGCAGTGCTAAGAGCAGCCACCGCAGTATTCGGACCGAGTGAAAGAGCCACAAGGCTATGTGGCCAAACCTTAGGGGTAGCAGCAAACAACAATCCTGCATGCTAATTCTAGTTGAGGCCAGATGGAACTTGGGCGCGAAACAATTTAAGCGGTGAAACCGACTGGCCTCCTAATAATCCCCCAATAATTATGAACACGAATTTCATCCGTGGTTAAAGTCCACCTCTTTCAGGACAGTACGCATCATTATCAACTACAACATCGAATTACTACGAAAGGTGTGCCCTAGTCTCATTGACTACGACAATGTCATCGACCTTGAAGTAACCGGCAAATACTTCAGTACTATCAAGTGAAATGGTGGAAATGTTGTTAACATTCCTTGATTAAACTGGCTGGTTGAGTTTCAACGCACAACTTTGCACAGAATTCCAGCAGTTCAAGTTGCCACATTCCATGTAACAAACAACGACAAAGAAAAGAAAAGGACAAAATCAAAGGAACCATAATGACCAGAACTCCACAGGAGAATGATTAGTAGTAGAAAAATATGGGGATCTCAGGTATCTAGGAGATTACGAAGTGAATGCATTTGTACTGTTGAGAACGATTTTGAGCCATATCACCAGTAATCTCCAGGCAGGGGTCTGGATACAACTCAACATGTAAGACGCAAATGTATGTTGTCAAAGATAACAATCACCTTCATATCTTCCATTTTGGCCGGAAAGTCTAGAAACCGTAATGGAGTACAAACAGAACTGCTTCGTACTAAACACGTCACCTGGTCGATCTCACGTCTACGCTAGTGCTGACGTTAATTGAAGAATACCACAAGCGTCCCTTATGTACATGCGTGGAATCATCAGCAATGAGTCGATTCGGGTTAGTTTGACTTCCGGGGTAGGCAAAGGGGCCAAGATATTCCGCCACTTGAATCCCAATCTCTAAGATAGTTTCCAGTCCCGCAGCAGCATCTTCACCCAGGAGAACAAAATCATTCACACACTCCTGTTCATCGATGAGGCAGTCATTCGGTCTCTGAAGTCAGTTAAGGTGAATTCCGTTGGTACACCTAGTGTTCTTTTCAACGAAAATGGGGATAGTGGGCGTCCCTAACGAGCACTAGTTGTTGTCACTTCAGGTGACAACCCTCCACAGGGTCTTAGTGACCGACACTTTCATCGAAGTAAACACACACATTCATCATTCAATAGATGATATCACTACTGCATCACTGCGTGCTAGATAAAATAAATTTATCTGGCGAGGAATTATATTATACCACATTGTCCAAAATTTAACACTTACTATACACCCTTTCATTGGTTTGAATTCAGTTTACAAATCTACGGCACTTTGCGAAAGGAACAAGATAAAAACTGTCAATAACTGTGTCAAGTCAACGCATATACGTAGTCACGGATTTCAGCACGTGAGTCACGAAGAGCAGCTCAAAGAGACTACGGCCATTTATCAGTAATCGCCTTTGATCTGTGCTGAAGATCAAATAGCCATAATGGAGAACCAACGGGGAACTCCGGCAGTGAGACGGCCAGGAACCAATCACCCATGAAATATGCAAGAGGAGACGGGGGTACTCTGAGGGGCGTCACACACCAGGGCACTGGGTGGAAGCTAAATAGGCCGCAGTGATCTGCCAAGCCATGGTTGAAATGTAGATAGTATGAAGATGGAGTGGAACCTTGGGGCCTGTTTAAATGGGCGACAGAGAAAAATACAATAAATATGTGAATAACAATGATGGTAACACTGGCGGAATACTCAAAAGCTGAAACTCCACTATTATGGTCCCTGTGTTAGAGTTAGCCCCTAATTCTTTGGTGGCTTTGGATCTCGTGCTAAATTGCAGTAACCTTCGAAAGCAAACATACATATCAAATTTGACTTGGTTCCACCTATCCCTACCTTAAATTTATGGAATCATTTGAAGCAAATATACGTAGAAAATACTGAGGCCAGCATTCGCCGTCTCTAATATTACATAGCTTTCCGGACAATCCAATTTGCAGTCCAAAAAACCTGCGAAAATCAATGACTCACTTAAACTACAAATGGGAAACTACAAAATATTTTTCCAAAATGAAGGACGGAAAGGGCTTTAAAATTGTATACTATTTATATCCACATTACCCTTACTAGACATTGGTCTAAAAACACACACATCTGCTTAATCTGCGCTATCCTAACAATATTCACCCGCTATATGTAGTTCGTGTTCCAGCGCCATCTTTGTAACTGGTGTAGGATGGCTACTTTTAAAGGTGCTGCAAGAGAAGCCCAGAGAGCGGCTCTGTTGATGAAACAACGTGAGAAAGAGCGTCAGGAGTTGGAACTTCAAAAGCGAAAACTTGAAGCAGAAATGCGTGTTGGTGAAATGTCGACTAAGTTTGCTGTACATTACGATGCAATAGAACATCAGTTGAAAACAAATACAGTATGCAAATTGATGTTATAACACTGTGATTCAGATAGGATTAGTGACGCTTGACGAAATGAAAGCTCGACAAAAAGCTTACATGACGCAAAGAGAAAAAGAGTTGGCTTTAGGAAACTCTAAAGGACTCTCACAAAAATCGGGAAATGCAGCCTTAGAAAAGAAAAACAAGCTTCAGCCTGCAAGTTTAACTTGTATATTCTTATGCATTTTAGAGTTTGCTGTCATTTGCTGAGGAGGAAGATGCTGAAGACATATTAAAACCCCCGAGTTTGGAAACTGGTGACTCCGAGTCAGCAGACAAAGTAAAAGTGGTACCGAATTTTCGATGTCTCAAGAAATATTGTAGACTGACGAACAAAATCAACCTGAGGAAACTGTAGCACTTGATGGAGATGATTCCTCTAGGTCTGACAATGAGACTCAAGTGAAACGTAGACGTCTCGGGAAAAACCCAACAGTCGACACTAGCTTTCTTCCGGATATTGACAGAGATGAAGAAGAAAAGCGTCTAAGGTAATTGGCAAGTATTTTTTCAACCACTATTTGAGTGAGAAATACTAAAGTTTATTTTTTTTATTGTGGTGTAAATGGAATGGCATCTTGTCAGCACTTTTTATGCACCGTTATTATCATTAGACGCGAAAGACTGAACTTTGCCAAATTTATACGCTTTCACTAGACTTCACAGGTTGTAGAAAAGCAAACACCATAGTATGCCACATAAAGTTTCCTAAATTGTAAAATAAATCAGTGCTGTAGTAGATAAATCACTTCGTATCGTTAGTGCCATTATATCGAGACAAGTTCCTTGTGGTGATTTTCTGGTGGTAGCGTTTAATTAGTCTTAGTACTGTGTAAAATGATGAAAGGTGTTTGATACAGCCTATTTTTTGTCTTATCGGTTTAAACACCCAACGGGTCATCAGCGGATGAAAATCAACCGGCAGTACGCAGATCCTATGATAGTATCAAGTACCGAAACTATCACTACACGCCGCTATTTACTTCCAAAGTACTGTGTTGGCTAGGCTAGAATCAGGGTAACGAGTGGATGAAACTGAAACTTGACGTCTACCCATAAATTCTAAGCTGTTTACCTCAATGAGGAAACTAGGTGCTCCTTGAGCGTCTCTATCGATACCTCATAGATAGTCCACAGCTAATGCATCACATACCCAGTTACTATGACACAACCACGTCCCTTGACGTTGTCTCAACTGCATTATTAAATCCTCTAATATATTCTGGAATTTCGCTCATCTCGCGGTTTTCGAGAACGCTCTCAAACTTTACTTCCACTTCTTACCTGATTTTTATATTTTTAATTTAAATTGTTGATTGCAGCTTGATTCCACACCGTATTTTTTGGTACAGTTATGGGATTTTCAGCATGTGATATCGATAGTCCAAAATTCACAGGCCGACCATAGATATCAGGTGTGCGCCGGCAGGGAATCGAACCCCGGACCATGTGCACGGTTGGCGAGAGTTCTTACCACTGTGCCACCGACGCATATATGTAGACGTAATATTTCTTCAATCCTTTCCTTAATGTGTCACTTAGAATTCATTGTCAGCTGATTCATGCATATTTCATAAACACTACCGATAAGCATATCATTTTTCAGAGGTAGTCACAAGATCGAAGAGTAACAAATACCCAAACTCTGCAGTTGGGAAGTTTTATTGACGACTTCTTTCCCCAAGTCATTTAATAGTTGGTATAATATTGTGATTAATATGGAGGTTAGGAAACAAGGCAATCGATTAGGCTGTGAAGATACATTAATTGTGATGGTCACGACACGTGTTGCACATTCCGAACCATTGCCATGGGGTTGTGTCGGAAAAGAGTTACCTGTGATCAGACTAAAACGCAGCATCAGTCCGTGATGACTGGCAACTGACTTGAGTCAGCCACATCAGGAAGTGTAGGCTGTCTTGAGATGCTAAGAACCACTGGCTGGAGATTACTGGTGATATGGCTCAAAATCGTTCTCAACAGTACAAATGCATTCACTTCGTAATCTCCTAGATACCTGAGATCCCCATATTTTTCTACTACTAATCATTCTCCTGTGGAGTTCTGGTCATTATGGTTCCTTTGATTTTGTCCTTTTCTTTTCTTTGTCGTTGTTTGTTACATGGAATGTGGCAACTTGAACTGCTGGAATTCTGTGCAAAGTTGTGTGTTGAAACTAATTTAGACAGAACTTCATTGATAGTCTTCTCGAAACTTCATAGTTTGTACTTTCATAGTGGAAATCTTATTGAAAATTTCATCCTATTTTGGTTTTTGTTAGATATTTAGAAAATTGGAGTGTTTGGATAGATTAACGAGTGAGTGCACGCATAATCACGTCTGTTTTAATTTGTACATTTCAGTGGTATTATGGAAATGAAGTTTTCGTCAGTGCTGATGAAAGTGTTTAATCAAGTCATAGGAAGTGGGGTACTGATCATGATAACTCAAATTTCGCGTTTATGCGTTTCTTGAAATGTGATAAAAGATGCGACTTTTGGTTTACATTTTAAACTTATGAAATTATTTATTTGCGATTTAGTTGAGTCGTCGAAGTCGATTCAAGGTGCCTAGAGTATACGCTGTAAGTAGTGTGTTACTGTTTATTTTAGAATGTTACCTGGAGCAAAATAGAAGTAGTTTCATTTATTGAACGGAAGCTTGATTGCAACTTATAAATATACTGATATAACTTTAAACTACATAGAACGCCATAGTCATTCTGAATAAAACTAGTGTTGAAAAGTGGATGACATCTCACATAGACACCACTAGGCAACTCTTTAGACTCATCAGGGAAACGGGTGGGAGAAGGCAAGTCATAAGTGAAACAATCTCGTAGAAAAGTAGCACCATAATTAGCTCTCAGGATAGACGACTGAAACGCTGGAAAGAGCACTATGAGGAGCATTTTAATTGGCCCACAACCACGCTCAACCTGCCGAACATCCAACACCTCCCTGAATGGGATATAGACGCAGGTCTTCCATCCCTAAATGAAGTTACTAAAGCTGCCACCAATCTGAAACAAGGCAAGGCAGCGGGACCTGATGGGATGACTCCAGAGGTATTTAAGTACGGTGGAGACAGTTTACTGTCTGCATTAACTGAGGTTCTTGGCAGCGTCTGGGAATTAGAAGAAGTCCCATCGGGTTGGTGTAAGTCACTGATTATCCCGATATACAATAAGGGAGACAAGTCTTCCTGTGATAATCACAGAGGGATTAGCTTGACTAATGTAGTATCTAAAGTCCTAGGTTCAATAATATTGCGTAGACTAAGTGGTTGTCGGGAGGAACAAACACGGGAGAGCCAGGCAGGCTTTAGACCAGGAAGAGGGTGTATTGATCATATCTTCACCCTTTGACAGATTCTAGACCTTAGGCATTCCTACCGGCATCCAACAATCATATTTCTTGACCTAAAGGCGGAATTCGATTCTGTCGAACGAGAGATTCTCTGGAGATGCTTGGCTGTAAAAGGAATGCCGAGAAAATACACTGCACTGATTAAGGCACTCTACTCGTACTCATACAGCCAGGTGAGAGCTCACGGCGAGTTGTCATCTGAACTGGTGACGACTAGTGGTGTCCGTCAAGGATGCCCATTATCCCCTTTTCTATTCAACTTCATCATAGATGTACTAATGGACTTAACCCTAAGTGACTTCAGCGACTCAGGGATTGACTTGCTACCAGAGAATAATCTCGTTGACTTAGAATATGCAGACGATATAGTCCTACTAGGCGAGGATGCTGGCAAAATGCGGAGTCTTCTAAACACCTTGAGCTGCAATCTACGAATGTTTGGCATGCGATTCGCTCCAACCAAATGCAAGATGATGTTACAAGACTGGACTACATCGACGCCTAGTTTAAAAATAGGAAGTGAAGTGGTATAGCACATTGACCGCTTCTCTTATTTGGGAAGTACCATCAGCCCCAACGGGTTGATCTCTGACGAAATGTCAGCACGAATACAAGGGGCTCGTTTCGCATTTGCCAGTTTATGCCGACTCTGGCGTAGACGAGATATTCGACTATCGACCAAAGGGCGGGTGTACTGCTCATCAGTTCACTCCATCTTCCTTTACGACCAGCTGTGAGACCTGGCCATTGAGAGTAGCTGTCTTTGTGCCTGCGTTCTATCTCCCGTGTGAAGTGGCATAATAAGGTGAGCAATATTGAGGTTAGGCGTCGAGTTTTAGGTAAGGAGGGAATCGATTGACGAAGTTGTGAAGTTACATCGACTGAGATGGTTAGGACGTGTGTTACGTATGCCTAGTCATCTCCTTCCTCGACGACAGGCAACGTTAGCTGACATAGGGTCATGCTGGAAAAAAGCTAGCGGCGGTCAAACAAAAACATGGTACCAGTCAATGAAGTCGACAACAGTTAGTCTAAGCCACGTAGGGAGGTGTAGACTTCCTGGTTGGGGTCCTCGGGACGGAAAAAACCAATGATTGGAAACAATTGGTGACATGGCTCAAAAACGTTCTCAGTGGCGCAGATGCATCCACTCCTTGTGATTTATGATCTCCAATGAAACTGTTTAGTTCTTCGTTATTACTCCTTTGTCTCACTCCTCTGCTCACTGTCTCTATTATGCTTTTCTTGTATTTTCTTCTCTCGCTTTGTGTGCTACTTGGAGTGTGGCGACTTGAACTTCCGCACATTTGTGCAAAGTTCTATGTCGAAAACAGACAGACATGGTCTGTTGTAGTGTCACAGATACATTATCTTTCATCTCGCATTATGTGAAGTTTTCCGCTTTGTTCACCCTTAATCCTCACCTGTCTTCGACAGTTGTGACTTTATGCTATTGATATCGTGTGTTCCACTAAGTTTCGTTTACTTAAATGATTTATTTATATTTTTAGAGAAGAACTACGAAGAGAGTGGGTAGCAAAGCAGGCTGCAATTAAAGAAGAAGAAATAGTTATCACTTATAGTTACTGGGATGGATCTGGACATCGCAAACAAGTTCGAATGAAGAAAGGCCATTCAATACATTTGTTCTTACATCGTTGTTTAGAACAACTTCGTAAAGATTTCTCCGAGTTAAAATCTGCTAGTGCAGATCAAATGATGTACATAAAAGAAGACTTAATTATTCCTCATCACTACACATTTTATGATTTCATTGTAACCAAGGCTCGCGGTAAATCTGGCCCCTTATTCTGTTTTGACGTTCATGATGATGTTCGTATTCGAATGGATGCAAACGTAGAAAAAGAGGAGTCACATGCGGGAAAAGTCTGTTTGCGCAGTTGGTATGAGCGTAATAAACATATATTTCCGGCTAGTCGATGGGAGCCTTACGATCCGGCCAAGAACTGGGACCAGTATACAATCTCCGATAAAATGTCAGCAAAAATTACTGTCAAGTGATATACATATCTTCGTTCCTTTTCACATATTAACGTATTTTCTTCAGATAGTATTTAAAAGTTTTAATTAAATGTAACATAACTTATTATTATTATTTAACATTTGCATTTTTGACATATTTTACATTGTGATAATAAAATAAAACTTAATATGTTTACATTTTTCCATCTTTTTCGTCATTGCTTACTAAACAACAAGCGAACGCTGTTTCTCCGGATCTCACTTCAAAATAGTTTTGATTTTGAAAACGGGACTATTAGTATACTTTACTCACATACATGTAGCTGGATTCTGTGTACATTTTGCGTAAGCTCATTTCCTAGCGAAAAGTTGGTCTTTTTGTTCAGTCTGTAATTGAAGTAAGTTTGTTTCGTTAGTAGAAAATTTAACTTGCTACTGTTCTGAAATAGGCTGTTGATACTTGGAAGAAGTAATACAACAAAGTCGTCTAAGTATTGTCCTATATTTTGAGCGACAACGGTCGTTGTTTTTTCGTGAGTTTTGACTGAATCATTCCTTTGATTTCTGTCAGTAACACCGAATAATCTTTGTGTACCGAAGATTCTGTAGTCGTTTATAGTTGGAGATATCAGATATACGAAACGTCCGGATATTGTTCTTTAAACGTCATTTATCTTATTATTTAGTATATCAAGTTAAATTATTATAGTTTTGATACAAGAGAGCAATGAACTCCTTAAACAGATAACATTATTTAGCCAACATATGCTAAATATCAACAGCTTAGTTAGCAAATATTATTTAAGATAAAGATTACAGGAAAAAGAATACGCCTATTGGTCACAATCTCCCTCCTGGTTTTACAGTTATATATATAAGTAATCGGCGTATATCAACAACAAAGTTCTTTTGTAAGAGAATCACTAGATTAAATAATAATCAAAATGTCTTGAAGAATGAGATTGTTTAACGTTGAATTGCTCTTGAAATTCATTTCCAATCAGATTTTTTTTCAGTTTTTTAATTTGGACTGGTTAATTAATAACGTCTTTATTTGTTGATATGTGAATAATTATCTAACTAGTATTAAGTTACAATTATAGAGCGCGATGAGAAGAGAGTTCAAATTTCTCAACCTACTGGAAATAACTATGTCTAAATCGCGATCCTTTCATTTTATTTGAGTGAGGATAAGTAAACTACCTGTTTTGCTTGCAGCTTAAGTGAATTGGATTGCAGAATTTATATTGATAATGAATCTCTTTAATATATGTTGATTTCACGACGGTGAATGTGTCAATCACTTGTTGCCATAATTTCTCTCTGAAGCAACATGTTCCCAACTTATCAACAAATGTGTGTTACAGATTTGGGGATCCCACTGTTATTTCTGTCTGCATATTTTGTCTTAAATTTCAGAAAGTATATATGACAAATATCTCATTTAATAATCTAGTTATATCATTGAATTCATGACCAAGGTGTAGCCTATTTCTAACATCTTTAAAGTTCATTCTGATAAGCATATTAGTATAAAGACTTGTGATATCTATATATGAGTTGTTTTTTCCTTCTAACCTTAGCTGTGGGATACTTATCTTTTTGTTTTAATCCACGTAAATTAGTTAAACTATGTCGTGACCCATTTCTGGTTGGAAATTGAATTATTGTTTAGTATTTTGGAAATTCATATATTGGTGTGTTTCCTGAATCGACAGCCAACTCAAGCAAATAAACTTGTCCTTGAGTCTTTTTAATATTTTAGCTTCTACCGAGACTGTTGGTTTTAAATACTAAGTTTTTCTAATAAAAACCTTACAGAAATGGGTTCATACAACATATGAGAGTAGTTGAGAACTTCTTAATTTCTAATTTTCTTCTGTAGTTCCATCATCACATTTCTGCAATTAATCCTTATTGTCAATATTTACAGTCGAGTTACTCCTATGATATTTGCCTTTGTCTCACGTATCAAGGCTAAAGCTTTTGTTGAATTTAGCCGCATCTTGTTGTTTCCAGTGATAGTGCAATTTTTTTCTAACTTATCAGGATGCACACGACTTTCCTACCTATTTATTTGAGTTGCTGGTAGACTGAAGTTGACGTCCATCTTAGATACGTTTATTTTGATTTTCCTTAGGTGTCTGGATGATAGTTTGATCAACCATTCTATTTCGTTTACACTAGTATGTACAATTCTAGTAGTGTCTACTCGAAAGGATACTTTCATGCTAGTGGTTTGTTAAACTTCTAAATTATTCCACAGTACTTCTTAGTTTACACGAAGTTTGTGTGAAAGTTTATTGTCTTCACTGCAAACTGGCTTCCTAAGTGTACATTTTACTTTTTGAATCTTATTTAGGGTGCTACTAACGTTTTTTTTAACGACCCTCTGTAGTTCTCTAGGACAGAGTCTTCTGCCATGTCCTGACAAAGACGTATATATTTAGAAGTTATACCGCTTTTTATGCAGTTGATGTTACATATACGACAGTTTCTTAATTTCCTCTCAGTTTGTGAAGCTTGTTTAAGTTTTTTGATTAATCCTTAAACAAAAAGTCTATAGGTCCCATTGGTAGAATTTCCGAACTATGGTGGGGCCCGGTTTCTTGTTAGTTCTTAATTTGACGGAGAACACCGAGATACAGTACTGATTCCTGTGTGGTGTTTCGATCATATTTTCCGCTCATAACCTCATCAAATTAGTCTCACGCCTTCAACGTCTTTTACATTTCTGTATTTTCTCATTCTTTTGTTTCAATTCGTAATGGAATTGTTTGAATATTTGATACTTGTGTTAAATAATCTTTGTCCCACTTAAAAATGTCTTAATAATATGTCTTGGGCTTAATTCCTATTCTGTATACCTTAAATTATTCATATGTAAGACATCTCGTACTTTTAGTCCAGTTTTGAGTCTCCACCAATGTCAAATACACTAACCTAGAACATATAAAAATTCAATAACTTATATCTTACACAGGTATTCTAGATTTTCTCATATGAATCAATAAACAAGAAGGTGTCTAGTTTGTACGCTAACATAATGATTAATTCCTACACTTATACTAACTGATTCAATCGACTGAAATTTTATTAAGCAGAAATCGAAAATATAGGAAACATATTTTAGTAGAGGAAATATCTAAATAAACGGATGTATTAATAAAATACCTAATCTCTATTAGTTTTCGGCTATTTCTGTTCATGGAATACTTACTAATTTTCATCATACTGTATTAGGTCACTATCACAATTCGTATCTACATTAATCCGACAGACGAATGTAACAAATTATACAGCCGATTCCGAGAGTATCTCTACACAAATTGGGGAAGTATCAACCAAACAAACTGATACACTAACTCCCAAAGGAACTGATGAACCTGTTCATATTATATTTATCCATTCGATTGATAAAATCAAATTCTATTCAGGAAATCACTGTAACAGATAATAATTTTTAACTCTAGTGAACTGCCGGGTATATAAAATTCCTTTCAGACTTAAGTGTAGAATATATACTTAAAGAAATGGAAAAGCTGTTATGATTATGGAAATTAAAAATTCGTTAGATATCTTTGAAGTGTAATTCTCTGGATAATCTCAATCTTTTATTTTACTCAGGTATACTGCCCACCAGAGCACATTTACACTTAACTAAACCTTTTTAATTTGTGTTTTGTTGTCAGTACTTCCAGGTTAGGTAGGGTATTGAATTACTACATATATAGGCAAATTACATTAAGTAAAGACAGGTAAAGTGTAGCTTTTGAAGAGCGCTATCCAGGACCTTACATCTTCCTAGGAAGCTATGTACCAGACAAATGACTGATGAAATTCATATTGACGTTTGTAGTGGTAGGTGATTCCCTAGGATTATTGGCCACAGTATTCATCACTGAACATTGGATGCTGGCCCTCACTGTTCGAGTCAGCTTGTTTAGCTGAAGGCTTCCGGTAAAGCATCCAAGCCATTTGGTACGCCGTCGTGTCACGTTCTTTCGTTCGTGTACGATCCCTAGCTAGTTAAGCAATCATCTCGCACTCCGATTTTGTCTCGAAATATAACTCGTAATTTGGACGGTCAATTCTTATGTTTTACTTTGCCCTTGGTCTACGCGGAACGACTGCTACAGAAGTTGTGGATATTAGATCTTGCGTCAGTATAATTCGTACTCTCCGTGAACGTCATTGCCTTCAGCCTTTAGACGTTGAGAAAAAGATATCGGTGAAAAATATTTAAAACACAGATTGTGATTTTTGCTGTCATACTATCCCTCCAGTTCTACCAAATTCAAAATGATCTAGTTGTACACATTAAATTAGATTTAATATATCACTTCCTATGGTATTATTCAAAAAGCCTATTCTTATCACTTCGTTACTGAACGAGTGGTATTATTTTCAGTAATTTCATCTTCAGGTTCTACAATTGCACATACATGCGAATGTAGCACCACTATATTAAGCCTAATTGTACGCTTATAAAACTAATTCATGTACACATGTCATATTTTACGCGGTTATGCACTTTTTGCGTTTGCCTCACGCTCGTTGAAATTTGACTTAGTTAACAACACATCTTTTCAAGTTTTCACTTGTGATTCCTAATACTACGTTGTTCGTCTTTGACAGTGTACAGCTTTAGCACACAGTAGAACTGTAGTATCATAATTAGAATCATAATGATAACACCATACTGAGTGAATATTAAGTCTACTTAAATAAGTTACATAAAGATTGCTTTATAGTAGGGAATCATTAATCTGCATAGCAATCAATTTGTTTCCTGAATGATAAAGTTTAATTTTCAATAGTTGGTTTGTAAGGATTAGATTTGTCTTTATGAGTTGATCACGTGATTTAGCTTGACGAATCGGTAGAATTTAGGATTCATGCGCCGTTGAATCGAGTCCCACTGGCTGAATGGTATACGAGCTTGTCCTGTAACTGGAAGGTCCTGGGTTCGAACCCTGTCAGTGGGTGCGTAATGCCGGTGATTCCCAAACTAAAATGAAACAGCTGTGCAGTATTCCTTGGTTTTCAGTGGTTCTCTAATTGATATCAATTCGTCATAAACGCGTGATAAATTTTAAGTCAAAATATTTTCCTTGGTTCTAGGTTCAAAATAAGTACGTATATGCTTCTACGTTCACAGTAAAATTATGCGTGGTAAATGAAATGGTTCTCAAAT